AAAACAAATAGAAATCAGAGAGTTGTGGATACTCTTGTCATGAAATTTAAAAGACAGATGTCAATTAAAAATTAGAAAATGTTTTTCATTAACACAAGGTAGAGGAAAAGTGCTCACACCTAGAAATCAATATAGCTGGTTCTACTATTAGTTCTATGCCTTAATATGTAGCTGTTTCACTAGTCAAGTCACTTTTCTTTATGCCTAGTCTACTGTCTGATTTGTAAAAAAAGGAAATAACAGCTGCCCAAACTTGCTCAGAAGTAATTTATACGATAAAAATTATCAAAACATATATAAAGGTAAGCCTGCTAGCACGCATTGTTTATTTCTTTATAATTAATACACTACTATACAGTTTTTTACTTCCTGTCATCCTTATAATATCCTCATCAAGAATGGTTATGAAACTGGGCATAGTGGTTCATGCCTGTAATCTCAGCACTATGGGAGGTCATGACAGGAAGACTACTAGAGGCCTGGAGTTCAAGGTATTAGTGAGCTATGAGTGCCTACTGCATTTCAATGAGAGCAACAGAGAGAGACCCTATCTCAAAAAAAAAAAAAGCATTAAGCGATATTAATCAATATCAGAGTCAAACAAAGAACCTCATAAGACTGACTTCCTTAGGACCAAACAGCTAGAAGGCAACAGAGATAGAAACAAGGCCTATGATTTCCAGTACACTGCTCTTTCAACTACATTTTGTTGGTCCTTTTTCATAGGGTTTTAATAACTAATCTTCAGAAGAAACTGGGAAAATAACATAATCCATTTGTTAGAATTAAGATCATTAAAGCAACTATGAATCTATCATTCAGTCCCTATTTATGACCTACTGTTTAACCATCTTTCAGAACTATTTCTGAACATAGCCTCCTTATAAAGAAAAACATTTAACCTGTTAATAGTTGTATTGCATGATTTAATAAATGCAAGAAAGTGAGTCAAGGAATTATATTAAGATTCTGCAAGCATTGGCTCGGCACCTGTGGCTCAAGTGGCTAAGGTGCCAGCCATATACACCTAAGGTGGTGGGTTCGAATCCAGCTCAGGCCTAGCAAATAACAATGATGGCTGCAACCAAAAAACAGCCAGGTGTTGTGGCGGGCACCTGTGGTCCCAGACTTGGGAGGCGGAGGCAGGAGACTTGCTTGAGCCCAGGAGTTGGAGGTTGCTGTGAGCTATCATGCCACAGCACTCTACCAGGGGTGACAAAGTGAGACTACGTCTCAAAAAAAAAAAAAAAAAAACTACTTGAAATTCAAAGACAAATTCCAGCCTTCAAAAACAAAAACACCTGCAAAATCCTAGGCTGTTCCCAAACTTTTCAAAATGGCTGAAACCACTCTTTCTGGACATTCAAAAAGTGTCATTGACTATGGGACAATAGTTTGAATTATGATAAACATCAGTACTTGTTCCCTGCATGCAACATTTAACAATGAAAATAATCAAGGAACAGAAGATCCATGAAGAATTGAAATAAAATGGTATTAAGTGCGTTTACTTTTAATTAAGAAATATATGGGCAGTGCCTGTGGCTCAGTGTTTAGGGCACCTGCCCCATGTACTGAGGGTGGTGGGTTCAAACCTGGTCCCAGCCAAACTGCAACAAAAAAATACCTGGGCATTGTGGCAAGTGCCTGTAGTCCCAGCTACTTGGGAGGCTGAAGCAAGAGAATCACCTAAGCCCAGGAGTTGGAGGTTGCTGTGAGCTGTGATTCCACAGCCCTCTACTGAAGGCAATAAAGTCTATCTCTATCTCTACAAAAAAAAAGAATAAAAAATATATATATACATTTTGGCTTGGTGCCCATAGCCCAGTGGTTATGGTGCCAGCCACATACAGCAAGAGCCGCGGGTTAGAGCCCAGCCCTACTAAAAACAACGACAACTCCAACCAAAAAATAGCCTCCTGATAGCTGGAACTATAGGCACCCACCACAATGCCTGGCTAGTTTTTCTATTTTTAGTAGAGATAGGTCTCACTCTTGCTCAGGCTGGTCTTGAACTCCTGAGCTCTGGCAATCCTGAGCTCAGACCAAACCTACCTTGGTCTCCCAGAGTATTAGGATTATAGGTATAAGCTACTATGGTAGGCCTTGATGATCACTCTAGTTTTATATTCTTTTAATACTTAACACATTTTAAATCCTAAAAGAAAAATATAAGTTACTTACCAAATTTTTCTTTTGTTTCGGTGGGTTAACTGGTTCAAAAATAAAGATAACATTTCCATAGGATGCTGCAATCTTTTAAAGAGAAAAAAGAAAGAATATTATGGATATGTTAACTTACTTACAGATTAAAAATGCAAGAAATGAAAAGTATAACTTTATGCCCACACATAAAATTCCATTTTTTGACATATTTTTTTTTTGAGACAGAGTCTCACTTTGTTGCCCTCAGTAGACTGCTGTGGAGTGACAGCTCACAGCAACTTCAAACTCTTGAGCTTAAGTGATTCTCTTGCCTTAGTCTCCCAAGTACCTGGGACTACAGGTGTCCGCCACAATGCCTGCCCATTTTTTGTTGCAGTTGTCATTTTTGTTT